ATTTTCATTCAAACATTATGTATGTTTGTCGGAAAATTACTATTTCATTTAAAAGCATAAAAACCTATGCATGTGTAGACATGCACAGCAGGTGTTTGTTAAATGTATTTATTCCCGAAATGTTTCCCAGGTGAATGTCAGAGTGTAGAATGAGTGTAACGTAAAATTTATGAGAACACCCAGAATATGACATCTGAGTTTGGCACCTAAAGGCAGAATTGAGGTATAGATAAATCAGTTATAGCCAGGTGTGTGTTCAAGGTGCGAAGAGGTGCCGCAAAAAGGCATGAAGAGAATGTGGAGGGTTTCTGGATGTTCCAATGAAATAAATGTTACAACTATAAAAAAAAATGTCTGCACATTAACAGTGAGCATTTAAAAATTAGGTGTTAAGAAGAAACGAAACCAACCCTGCCAGAAAAAAAAAAAAGATTTTTCAGGAAGCAAACACTGGAATTTTAGCTTGTTTGCCCACAAAAGATTACTTGATATGATGATAAAAATTGTATATGAACAAATAAGATAATGTGGGGGATACTCATTTCCTCTCACTTGTTAGGATACCTTCAACTCTAAAAAACTTTCTCAATTCTTTGGACTGTGAACATCTCACGTTTGATTTTATGTGATTTCTGGTTGTTACAAGTGCTGTAAAGTCCTGCATCAAGAGGAGCAGGAACTGGAAGTCTTAGGAGGCACGGATGACTCAACCCTTGGCCCAAGGATTTATGACTATCTACTAAAGTCTACTAAAAGAGAAGTTAGTGCTCTCTCACTCTTAAACACACACATTACATGTCTTTCTTCAAAGCAACTAAAACATTACAATAAACGATGAGCAAGATGCAGCAGAATGACTGTTAATTGCTTTATTAAGGCCCTATTTACACGGACACGATGGGGGGAAACGTAGGTTTTTTCGTATGTTCGAGGAAAAGATTTGCGTTGACACGGTCGGATTTTGGGTTTACATGCATCCGGAGGATTCCCCCCCCCACCCTCCCGAATCCGCTGTAGTTACCATGCCGGGTCATTAGATGGTGCTGTGAATTTTGTACCTTCACCTAATGCACATGCGTGTTGCCTCGGCACGCTGTTTTCCTCTGGGCTAAAAGCTCAGCTAACAACAACGTAACAACAAGTTAAAGCTGGATTCTGGCTGGATTTTGGATAAGAGTCGACAGATTTGATGCCAAGCGGGACCGCTTCGTCTAACAGCTCCACACCGGTCGCTGAGCGGACCAGAACCGAGTCGACGATGTCGGACTTTACTCCGTGATAATCAGTAGCTGATTTACAGCAGGTAAATCAACGTTCTTAATAATGTTAGTTTGTGTTCACTTCGGTTACAAAACAACCAACTGAGTTTTTATTTTTTCCTGAAAGAAGAAGAAGCTGTCCTCCCACCAGGCGGACCGGTTTTGAACGAGGCTCGGCCCAGATGCAGTGCAGGAGGATGTGGAAGAGAGCTGTTGGATGAACTATTTATTTAAAATTCCCATCACTTCTTTTATTCAATCCATTCGAGTTCAGTTAACGTGTTTTAATAGTGTGTTCAGTTTAATTATAAGTGTTTGCGTGACATACAGTTTGTGGTGTTGAATAAATAAATAAAAATTAAACCTGATGTCTTCATTTTCAACTTTAGTGTTCATGCTATATGTTTAGCATCATTTTAAATTTGAATTGCATAATGTCCAGATAGCTTCATTTAGCTCATAGCTTCATTATATCTCGCACACTAACATAAATACTGTTTATTATTATTAAACTGTTATTTAGCACATTTATGTTATAGTGCAGCGCGACGTGTGCGCATGCCTCGTTCTATTAACAGCGACATTAGAACTGGATCAGATTGTGTCTCTTCCAACACAGATGTCGGTCACAGCACCTGGAATCTGACGTAGATTAACTACGAGATTAAAAATATATTCCATCAGTCGAGGTTCTGAAAGCAGTGTGTCCGCCGCCATGTTGATAGAAATATAGCGTCTGTCCGCACGTGCGTGTGCGCATGTGGTTTAACACAAAGCCTCAGCGGGAGATGTTTACATTGTCAGCGGGGGGTCAGCGAAAAACCTCCACTCTGGAAGGTGGGTTGAAAAACCTCCGGATTCAAAGAGGGGGGCCACTGGTGTCGTGTAAACGATCAGCAGAACAGCAGAGAGAAAGCTGCAGATGCACTCAAAATATGCGCCGTGTAAACGGCCCCTAAAGTTTTCTTTTTCAGACCAAAACATCTAAAGTACATTTTTTATATTGCACAGATGAATACTGAGAATGTAACTTTATCAAAGCCCAAAAGGTTTTTAAAACGGTTTACCTGTCCCTCGCTACTTTGCGGTTCATTTTTTGCGGATTCGCTATATCGCGGTTTTTCAAAGTAAGACTGGATATGACACAATTGGCTGATTGATGGATAAGCCATGGATTGCTTATTTAAAATAAATTATTTTAAATTATTTTGCACCTGTGTGCAGCCCACAAGTGCAGGGGGAAGTTCCCTCCTGAAGCCTGGCATGATTTCCACTCTCTGTCATGCACACACATTTCTCCCGCTGCATTGGTTTTGTGAAGGTGCTGTCCAGATGCACTGATCGACTTTTGTCTTTTAAAATTCAAAGTATGTCACATCGTAAAATCGTATAATCACAAAATATAAAAGTGTTAAAAGTTATTTTTAATTATTTTAGAACTTCTATGTTCAGTTGTTACAGTGTATTTGATCAAGAAGTACATTTCTGCTCCGTGCTGCATCTGAGTGTGAAGGGATGATCCTGCTGCGCTTCTCTTCTCTACAATTTAAATTTAAATACTTGAACATTTTAAATAAACAATCCATGCTGCATGAATTGTTTATTTAAAATGTTACAGTATTTAAATTGTTTTATTTAAGGAGGGAGATTGGGAGTAACAGGTGACGAGTGTGATTGCATCCTGGCACATGCCATGACAAAGTTTACTGAACTTGAACTTGGACTACCGTATCCCTACTTCGCAGTTTTTCCACTTATCGTGGGGGGCAGGGTACGGAACCCCAGCGATAAACGAGGGACAACTGTATTGCATGTTTTTAACCTAATTATGTAAAATATGCATTACAAAGAAATAAAAAAATCACAACATATGCAGTAAATTGGCAGCTCTGATAAATATAAGTAGTTATTTATTATTGTAATTTGCAATAGAAATTGTTTGAAGGAATAACATAAGGTACCGGTACCTGTTTTGATTCGGTCTTTGCTTAAATATTTTTTAGCATCATTGTTACCAAAAGCAGCTAACTCCTGGGCTGATAGGCCAAAGGTCCATGCAGTAAAAACACAATCCGTTTCTTAAAACTCTGATGTGTCTAGATCAGTGTTCCTCAACCCTGGTCCTTGAGGACCACTATCCTACATGTTTTAGTCATTTCCCTGCTCTTCAAGTTATGCAGAAGCCTGTTAGTCATTTATTCATTCACATCAGGTGTGCTGAAGCACAGAAACATCTAAAACGTGAAGGATAGTGGTTTCAAAGACCAGGACTGAAGACGGTTAGTCGGATAAATTGCCTATGTTGTGTCACAGTATGAAAACCAGGCAATTTGAATATACAGAACAACAAATTTGCTTAAACTGAATAAATCAGATTTTAAATCTATATGATGAAAAGTTCCTTTTTCCTCCAAGCCTGCCTTCAAGCTGTTCTGACAGGTGGAGCTGTAATGTACCAGGCTAGGCTCTGCTGGAGTTCTTTCACACCGTTTAAGCTATTTCCAGGTCAAACAAACTCACATGTGCAGACGGTTTAAGCCAACACACCTCGGCCATGTGGAAACCATAGAAAAGGAAAGGGGAAAAAATTGCACAGGGGCTGAGGTTGAGCAAAGATGGAGGGATGAAAGAACAGATGGTTGGTTGTGTGGAGGGACGAATAACATGGGAGAAACAGCTGAAATAATGGAGGAAATTTTGACTAAAAGAAGGGAGTCAGAAGATGCGTGCAAGCAATTAGGAGGTGCCAGCTGATGTCAGTTTTACGTTAGACAAAAGACAAACAAGTTTCTTATTCTGTAACCAGAGTAAAAAATGATGGACAATGCTGATGTTCAAAACAGCAACATCTTGTTAAATAACCTACTGGTGGATTATAAAAAAAAGACCAGAACTCCAGGATCTTTTCAGGAACTACGTCAGACATATTTTTAAATATATGTCATAAGAGAGTGCATAAATGATCAGAGATGACGTTAAAATTTTAAGCTTTTCACTGTAATGTTTATCTGTATGATCAATGTGCTTCCATAACACTGTGACAGTGTGCAACTGCTTTCTCTCCACCTTGAGGTTGTGTTACATGTTCCTGTGTGCGTTCATATAAGCATTTCTGCTTTGTGAGAAAAGACAGAATGTGCGTGCGTGTATCTGTGTCAGTGTGGCCCAAGAGTTCCCTGAGCAAGGAAGCATAAGAGCAGCTGCTCTGGCCCCCTTTTTGTTGGCCAGAATTTACAGTGGCTTTGGCTCCATGAAATATTTACGAGCTCCCAAAACACCCACTCTCACACATACGCACATTTTAGGACTGAAAAACCCACCTAGAGTACTCTTCCTGTACCAAAAACATCCTGTATACCCAGCACAGAACTTCAAAACACGCTGAATTTAATTACAGACCTAAACATCTGCTCTGCTGAAGTAAGGAAACAACACATTTACCTTCAGTCAAACTCCAGGCACTAATCTACATTAAGTCAAATAAGAACCTGAAACAGGAACATGCTGTACGGTAAAGGTAATGGATGGACGGATGATAAAATATGTACAGTAGTTGAGATCATTGTAATTTCAAGTGGTGGAAATGTCAAAAAAGAGCTCAAGGAGGAGCCTCTGCCAATCCAATGCATCTTTTGCTTGTTTTAAATGAGAAGCAACGACATCAACACAATTCATGTTCACAACTACCTATACCAGTCTCACTGCAGAAGAAAAGCATTATTTGCATGTTTTTGGACTTACTTCTTTATGATTGACTTCCTAATTGAGAGTCCGTCTTCCAGATCTGCTTCATTGGCCATAAAGAGCAGTCTCTTCCCTGATTGATCCACACCAACAAAATCCCTTTGCTCAGCTGGTAGAAAATATAATTTATATATCTTTAATAAATGGACTGAAATCTATGTTCAAAATGCACAAGATCACTGTTATATGACATGAACACCATTGCCACAGCATGTCATATCATATTTATAGTAGCATCATCTTCAGTATAATTTATTATCTTGTTACCTGTCTTTTTTTTGCCCTTCTGACCCGGAACTGTCTCTGTGAATTCATGGGCTTTGCTCATTAACATGGCCAGTGTTGCATTGTGGGCTCTGAAAAGATCTACAACCTCGTGAAGCGCCACATCTGTTATTAGGTCACAGCTCACCACCAGGACGTCAGTCTGCAGAGAAATGTTGAGACAAAAACAGCGAAGTGAGACTTTTTGTTGCACTTTGTTGCTGCAAGATTTGATACACTTGGATAGGGATCTGGTTGAAGCGATTTCAGTTTCACTTAAGAGTTTTCTGGCTTCATTACACATATTTTATACATCTGTTGTACTTGATGTATTTGAAATGCCACATTTAAACGTGTATAATTGTAATACCCAATCCCACATGTACATGAGAACAAAGACACAGTGATGCATGAAATAGAAGTCAGAAGAAAAGCTGTAGTTTTGAAGAAGTTTGCTCATTCATGACACCCATTTAAACATGCAAACTACAGTCCAGCAATAAGTCACGTCTTCTGTTAGACTAATATTGGTGTGAATGCTCATGAAGTATTCACGCTATTGTGATCCATTTTTCTTCCGTACATTTTTCAGCGTGATTCTTGTCCTGCAGTTTTCAAGCCATTTCAACAATTCATAAATCAAAACATTCAGCTCTTTCAGGACAATCTTGCTATGACTTTTAGTATTGGTACAACTTTAGCTTTTGAAATATTTAGCCTTTTCTGTCATTTTTTTTGTCTCAAAGAAAATTAATTGAGCTCATTTGACATCCTTCAAAACTTTAGATCTGTTTACAACCTTTTACTGCTTCTTTCACATTTTGTTCTGGTTCAACTTCTTTCAGCTTGTGCAAATTTAAACATTTTTTCAGCTAATTTCAGCTGTTTTTTTCCAGTTGTTTTGTGCACCTTTCAGATTCTTTCTGGTAACTACCGTATTTTCCAGCGTATAAGTCACAGGGTTTTTTTTGTATAGATTTGTCAGACTTATACGCCCGAGCGACTTGCATACTTTTTTTTCCAATATTCATAATGCAATTTTTGACTTGATGCTTTAAATTTCTAAGAACTGCAACAGCGAGTCCTCCCATGCGCACTCGCCTCAATCAGCTGGGGCAGGCAGAGGAACGCTAGAGAGCTAGTGGCTCTGGCCGCGATGGATGGATGAATGGCGCCGTGTTGCCCAGGCGAAATGAAGCTGTTCGGACCATTAAACAAACAACAACATTTTTATGCTTCTAACTTCTTTCTAATTTCAGCTTGTTATGCTCCTTTCAGCTTATTTCTGCAAGGTTCAGCAGTTTTTGCAATTTCAGCTACTATTTAGCTGTTTTTTGCTTATTTTAGCTTTTTCAGCCAATTCCGTATTTGTTGTACATTTCAACTTTTTCAGCCTAATTCAGCAAAAAGGTGCTCTCTCCAGTTCCTTCAGGTAAATTAAGCTTCTTTCTGTTTTTTAGCTACTTTTCAGCTGATTTTTCCTCAACTTTTTCAGATAATTTCGACTTTGTGCTCATTTCTGCTTCTTTTATCCTAATTGGGCAAACGTTATTTCTGCTTTCTTTTGCTAATTTAAGCTTGTTCTACCTTTTCAGCTACATTTTTTAGCATCTTTTAGCTAATTTCAGCTGTTTTCAGATAAATTCAAGTTTTTTGTGGTAATTTCTGCTAATTTCAGCCGAATCTGTTCAGTGCCCTGAGATGACTTTCTGTTGTTACTTGGCACTATATAAATAAACAGAATTTAATTTAATTTAAATAATTAACTTCTTTCTGCTAATTTCAGCTTATTATGCTCCTTTCAGCTTATTTCTGCTAGTTTCAGCTATTGCAGCTACTATTTAGCTATTTTATGCTATTTTTGGCTTTTTCAGTTAATTCTGCATTTTCTTAGCTCATTTCAGCTCTTTTCGCTTCCTTCTGGTAGTTTATCCTTTTTTCTGCCTTTTCAGCTACATTTCACTAATTTCAGCTTTTTTAAAACTACTTTCCTAATTTCTGTGCAATGTTTTGCTTATTTAAACTTAATTCAGCAAATATGTGTTCTTTCTGCTTTCTTCTGCTAACTTAGGCTTGTTCTTGTACTTTAGCTACATTTCAGCATGTTTTTAGCTATTTTAAGCTATTTTTCAGCAAGTTCTTCTGCAATAAGCACTGCATTTTTGCAGGAAATTTCTCTAGTTTTTTGTTGAATGCAGGGTTTTTAATCAAATGTTTGAACGTGAATTGCTTTGTTCCGTTTTAACACGACTGTTTTCATCAAGTATTTTGACTGGCCTCTACTAACGATGCACCTCTGCATGTGTACGTGTTCAAATAAGGGCATCCCGCATCTGTGTATCAGTGTTTTCATGTCTGTCCAGTGATGAAGGCTGTCAGCATGTGAACTAATCCCACCATTAGCACCAGCAGCCTTAATGACAGAGACGTTTTTGCTCTTTCTATAGCAGGAAGGACAACAAAGTGCATTAGCAAAAAGACTGCTAACTCAAAATTGACTTTTTTTTCCCCCTCCAAACAAAATCAAAAATGTCATTACACATTAGCATTCATTCAAATACATTTTACCGTGTTCTGGTTTTTTTTTTTTTTCTGTAAAGTCCTGCTGGTGTTTGTATTTTCTCTTTTAAAAAAGCCTTGTGAAATCTGAAGGTTTTCAAGAAACTTTAGTCTCTCAACAAAGACCAAGGCTGTATAAAATTTCAAAAATCAACCTTGGGCTGCAATAGCTCATGGGCTATTATATTTCAAGTACAATACATTCATGTTCTGCATGTTAAAAATGTATTAAATCAGTTCAGACTGTTTGGCCTTGATGACCACACCTGGTTTATATAATAGTGACGACAAAAGAAAAATGAGTTAGTGAGGAAAATGTGGATTTGTCACAACTTATATTGTAATCACAATATAAAACAATATTTACGTAGATTTAAAATAAGAATAATACTAAAAAATAAAAGTACAGTATAGCGCATTATGTTTAAATGAGTTAAAACTTTGGGGGGGAAAAAATTAGAAAATAAACTGCAGAAACCTTAAATGTTACAGTCAAGAATGTGTTAATGTTTTAATATATTTTTAAATTAGTGACAAAGAAATAATGGAAAAATCAAAGTAAATTTAAAACAAACTTCAAAGTATTTTTACTAATTGCCAACATTTAGTTCCAGTATATCTGGATTTTAGAATACATATACAAAGCTGCTCATATTAAGCCTGATAAAAACTTTAAAAGGGTATTAAAATGTTGCAATTGTACACAGAACTGAACCTATATGGATGTGGAAATATTCCTTAATTAGATGAAACAAAGTCCAGTGCAGTTCTCAGAGTGCATGAGTAGAAGCAGTATCAGTGAGATTAAGAGGCATCTAGTTGACGTAGGTTCACTTCAATCATATCCTGAACTGGTCCTGGCGACAGGAAGCAGTCTCAGCAAAGCTGAAGGAGTCTGCAAAACATCTACTGACACAGAGACCAAGATCTTTCAACTCTCTTCTCCCTCTATCGCAAACTGACAAGCTTGCACACATGTTCACAAACAGAGCACACAAGTATGCATGCACACACAGACACACACATCAATGGACAATAACATGCTTACATACAGCCCACACACACAGGCACACACACTGAGGCGACAGCAGAGTGGAGTCAGCTGGAGAGCCAAAGACACTTTGGCCTTTCCACAGCCAGGATTACTGGACAGGTCAGGACCACACACACTGATATAAATTCACACACAAACACACACACACTTCTCCAAGGGGTTAGTGGCTATGATCCAAAACTGCTACAAACAGTCTTAAGCCACAACAAAAAAAAAACAAACAAAAAAAAAAACTATCTTCATCATTGTTATTTAATGTTTATTAGCTTTAATTTTCACCCACATTACATGAGTTTCTTTGAATAGGCACAATTATATTTGTTAAATCATCTCTTTTAGGCTGACTAAATGTATATTGAAATAAAAATTCTCCAAACAAAGGATGTCCAAAACATTATTTCAATTTAATTTCAGAAATTAGCTTTTTTTTAGACTATTTGCATAAGACTTGTCCCGTTTTAATATATGGTTATTTAGAAAAATATAGAAAAGCATGATAGAAGGCAGTGAAGGTTTGGGGTAAACTTGATAAAACGAGAAAAAAAAGGACAATTTTGTATATTTGAAGTGTTCCTGTTATAAAAGCATTGAGTTCTGTCTTTTATGACTCCCTTTCTTCACCTTTTCATTTGTGTCCTACAAGCTGACTAACATTTGTAGACCAAAGGTGAGTCTTGAGCCTCAGAGGCTCCATACATTCACTTCTTCTGTCTAACCCATTCTGCACAACAATTAAGCCTGAATGATAGGCAAGAAGGCTTTAGGCATACAAAGTAAACAAAGTTCATGTAAAGTACTCCTTTCACTAGTTTGGCATTTTGTGGAAAAATCAGAGCATTAATCAGCACATATGTCAACCTTTGTGTAACTTCACTGTTTGAAAAGTGAACAATATAAAATATGCTTCCAGTAATCTCTGTTTTTAGTAGTCAAGAGAAATGATCTCCAGTGCTCATTCGGAAAGTACACCGATTCCTTTAAGTATTTTGTTTGGTAGCTTGCACCAAATCCCCTCATGGGATGGTCTTTACAAAAAAGGAAGACAACAAAAAAAGACAAGACTAGGTCTGTCAGTGTGTCTATACTGAGCTGATGCATCGGTTTGACAGATGAAGTGATCCCCTGCTTGGGTTTGGCAGGCCACTGGTACAATTCATCACTCGTCACTCTACAGAGTGTGAGCGCGTGTAACTCAATGCCTCTAATCTTAGCGAGCTGCTTGAAGGATTAAACTGAACGACTCTCAATAGGAGCATGTAGGAGCTAGTCTTGTTTAACGGTGTGTATGTGTGGATATTCCGAGTATCCATCAAGGAAATCTTTAATAACAACAGCAAAAATCTGTACAGACAGGTTCTAAAAAGCATTTAAAGTTCCAGTTTGTAACATTTATACAGATCTATTGACTGTTGTACGACATAATAAACATATTCTGTTTCATTCTGTAGAGATATTGAAAATAATGAGTTGTATTTTAGTAAAAAATTAAAAATTAAAAAAGAAAGACCTACTGAAAAATGCAAGTTAACACAATCATGTTACTACAAAAGCTCAGAACAGACTCAAGAACAGAACATGTTTTCTTTACAGCCACCATAAGCAGGTGATAGACTTGCAGTTGCCACAACCGAGCACCGCTCTTTTGATCAAACTGTATTTTTATTTTTTTTTATGTTTGTCACACTCTAATGTTTGATCAGCCATAACATGTTTGCAAGTTATGCTTCATATAGCATTACCTTAATACCCAGTAAGTTGACATCATCAAATAAAATAGGCAAATTATTATAAACATATGTGGGAATTAAAAACATAGTGGTGACATGATTGTTTTGTCATGCCTCCTTGAAATAATGCATGTTACATTCAAAGTGAAAAGATCACAGAAATGTAAAACCACAGAAGATAACTACCATTCTGAAAACTTTCAGCAATATATATATAAAAAAAACCTGTTCCTTTTGTTAAGAGTTCAGCTTGGTATGACACAAAACCTCATAAATACATCATTATGTCCACTAGAGGCCTGCAAAACCATGGCATATACAAGGGACACCCTCCCCCCAATATACCTAAACACAAATGTTACACAGATGTGGAAAAGCTGCTGCAAGAGAATAAATGGTACAAAGGGTAAACTGGCTGCACAGGGAGTTTAAGTTTTAATCATGACCTCATTTGTTTAAAGAGAAGTGGATAAGGGGTGGGATGGTGGGATCACCAGACAGGATCCAGAGGGGAGCCTGGAAATCTGAGTTTTGGGTCATAGCAACCAAAATGGCGAGTGTGTGTTTGTGCATCTGAATGTTTGCATGTGTTATAAAAAAGGTGCAATGAAACATTTCTGTACCTCAGTCATTTGTGGGAGGGAAAGATCACGGATTAGATTCATTGTGTTTCTTTGCACACAGTAAATTATTTAAACAACCGAAATTCTAACACCAGAACACATTCTAGTTTTTCAACAGATAATTAACTTTATAAAGAAAACAGGTGGAGGACAATCAAACGGTCCCCCCCCCCCAATATAATCTGTATCAATGGCCAAATTCTTGCTGCAAAGCTAATAACCCACATTTTTAGAAATACTGAACTTACCTTTTTTATTTACAGTAGTCCCTCATTTATCGCGGGGGATCCGTACCCTGAAGCCTGAATAAGTGAAAAACTGCGAAGTAGGATATATATATATATATATATATATATATATATATATATATTCCATGGGGGAAGTGGAGAGAACCTGTAGGTCCTCCTCCCTCTTAAATATTAGAAAAAAAAATAAATGCTATTTCCTGCATTTTGGTGTAGCCTATCTTAACAAGTTGTTAAACATCTACATTTACCTACATTTGTAAACACTTCATTCAGTAACTAATTTAGAGAGGAGCAACAAAAGGTTGTGTGTGAATAGAGCAGATCCAATTCTGCCAAGCATCCTACCCCCCACTTCATGTTTCTGAGCTGAGCTCTTCTTCACTGAATTCATCCCTGCGTTGTTGCTCCTGCTGCTCCAACCTCAATTATGACTGCCTTCTCGGTTGTCCAACTAAGGAAAATCCATCCATCCATTAATTGATGAAAGTAAATTGGACTGTCTCTTTGGCATTTTGATCGCTGTTATTTTGACAAATTAGCGTTGTTGTTTTGATACGTGATTAATGTGATTAATACACATCAAACATTTCTCTTGTAATATATTTTTTTTACTGTAAGCTTTTTTTTATTTATTATGTCTTAAACGTATGCGTGAGTTCACATCAGCAGTCGTGCGCGCTCTATAGAGCTGTCTGGAGATGCTGCTGTGCATAATGTATGGCAAGTGGCCCATTAATAGCCACTTTAACCACAGGTCTGGCTATTAATGGGCCAATTGGCTTGCCACGTAGATGAAGACACTTCATCCCATCGAGACATGCCATCCACATCTCTGTTGGGCAGGGGCGTGTGCGCGAGCTGGTGTGCCACGCTGAAGCCATAATATCCACTCCACAGACTAGGCAATGTCTCCTCTTGTTGTGTTTTTAATAAATATTGAAAATAAAAATGCACAATGACTTTGGACTTTTAGGGGCGGGGATTTGAGTTGCCAGATTCGAACAAACAGTTGCCGGAACAAACCAGGTCAAAATGAGAGAGTTCCCAGATATTGTTCTGGCAGGATCTGGCTCAAATAAAACACTGAATAAAAGGTGTTTTACCTTCCCACACTCTTGCGATATTCTAAACAATGTTCCTAAACTCTAAACGCTCTAAAAGAGCACAGAATGTCATGATTTCCCTCTCTCTGCCACCAGCTGCTCTCTGCCATCTACCAGAGCTCTCGGCAATGCCCACTTCTCCGCTGCAGAGTGGAGATATGATATGCGGCAGAAGGAAGCTTCTCCTGCAGCTGTGGGCTGCACACAGGTGCTAAATAAATTTAAACAAGTTATTTTAAATAAAAATTCTATGTCGATCGTGTGGATCATCATCACTCAGCCCATTGTGTGTCATGTCCAATCTTACTTTGAAAAACAATCTTACTTTGAAAAACTGAAATAAGAGTGTGTCCACGAAAAACAAACCGCGACGTAGCGACGTACTACTGTATATAATCAAACAAAAAAGCAGTTTTTCTACTATTGATGTGATTGGTTTTACAAATAAGTCCACACAATAAATCAAAAGTATTGGAAGCTAAATGCCCTGTAACAGGACACACTTAGGACATGTATGTGCTATCGTGCTCTTAAGTCCATATGAAAGCAGAACAGTGGAGCTAAAAAGGACAAGAACCAAGTAAAAATGTGAAATTGAACCTTGAAATAGTGAGCATATATTTTTGTTTAGTCCAAGTAGTAACCTCTGATGTTGGGTAGCAAAGGTGACAGGGACGTGCCAAAAACTGCAGTTTTATAAATTGTCTTAAAAGTTTATCGCAAGTCACAAATGAATCAGATGCAATTGAATAAATAATCATGTCTAATATGTGTGATCTGTAAAATGGCACCATGTTCGGTATCACAACCAAGATAAACCTGTAAAAACCTCAGTCCTATTAATATACTACACCCTCTCTTTCAAGTCTTTTAATACAGAACAAAAGGTTCATTCTGATAAACAATTAATTTTCCTTTATTGGAAATTACGTTGTACATGTTGATTCTAGATCAAACCATTTTGTGTGTTTTTCCTTTTAATCTATAGCACCAGTTTTGCATTAATTAGTTTAACTTTTAAGACTTCAATCCTATTAATAGATACAATATAACAGCCTGAAGTCACACTGGAAAAAAATATCTTGCTAAGTTTTCAACATTGTCAAAAATTGCCTCTATTTTAGGTCAACAACATTACAAACACTATCTTTAAATTCAGCGTAAGCCTATGAAGTTTGAGACATGAATAAACTCTGACATGTTAATGCTGTGGCTACAAATCTTAAAATTTATAAAAGCACATTTTCCTTTTATTTAAAATAATTGCAATACCTTTACTTTTACAATATTAAAGGCTGGGCTAATTTTGATAGGAAAACAAAACAACTGCAAGCCACTCTAAGGTTCTCATTCATATCCATCGACAGGCTTCTAACAATAAGTTTATCACAATATTTCAACATAGAAGTTTCTCAGACAACTCAAGTGTACATACAACACATTAACCATACCTTAATCTTCTGCTGAATGTGTCTGAGAGCATCAGCAGTACCCATGTCACCATCTTCCTGAATGCAAACCACATCCAACTTCATCTTTACGTCCAGCTTCATTTTAGAGTCTGTGCTCATCATCTTCTGCACTTCTTTGGTCGTGATCACTATAACCTCTTGAAAACACAATTCACGTAACATGTATTAGATGAACAAAATAGATTTTTAAAAATGGGACAAAAAAAAAAAAAAACAGTCTAAAAACAGTACATTGTGTACTAATTTATTTATGAGCTAACATTTTTGTAAATTAGGCAGCATTATGGCACCACTTTACAAATCCAAAACATAGCTGAGTCTGTCTGTTTTAATTAGCAATGTCGACATAAATTTGTTTCTACTGGGCATTTCCTTAGACTAGCTGTGTCAGCCCAGTAAAATCTAATTGCAAATCTTTGGCTAGCAGGCAGCCCATAGTAAACTGCTGGCCACACAAGATGATTACATATAGAAAGCTAATTTTCTTTAGACAAGTGAGAAACTACAGGCTTTCATAATGAACAGTCCAGTTTACTGCAAGAACAGTGGTCTGGAAAATAAAAAAGTTTATATTTATAAGCCCAGGTTTATGGACCTGCTGCATTCTGAAATAAAAAGACTTTTGTAAAAAAAAAAAAATGAACTATAAATCCAGACAAAAATGGCACACCTGACAATGGCTAATAACGTGCTGAACCATGAGTGAAAGCAGGGCTACAAACAAAATACCGGACAAGATTTAAGTTCATACGTTTAATAAAAGAACTGAATATTCTAGTATTAGTGGGGCAGATTTATTTATTTATTTTTTTTCATTTAGCCTTTATTTATACAGGTTAGTCTCATTGAGCCACGAGAACTCATTTTCAAGAGAGACCTGTTTAGGGAGCACATGGTGGGGGTTAAGGACCTTGCTCATGGGCCCAGAGTGGGGCGAATGAGGGTGGGGGCAAGTGTGGGTGTTTCACCTACCCCACCCACAATTTTGATGTTGTCGGGGCCGGGGCGTGAACCGGCGATCTTTGGATCACAAGCCCACCTCTCTAACCTCTGCGCCACCACTCCCCCTCTATTTATGTTTCCTCTTCTGTCATAATGAACAAACATAACTGATCTTGAGAGCTGGCGTGAATTACAACCTCTTAAAACGTGCAATTACTGCATGTGTTTTTTTCTGTTTTATTTCAGTGTTCGTCAGAAACTTCTATGAAACATTTAATACCAAAAAACAGTAATGAATTGTTTGGTCCACCATTCAGAAGTACATCAGGAGTTGTCAACACCTATTTGTGATGAGAAGATTTGAAGCAGTAAAAATACATCTTTGTATTTTCAGATGACTTTGTAAACATTTAATAATCATTTATACCTGCCAAATGACCATATAGTGGGTAAAATCTTAAAATATTCACAAATGTAGCAACAGGATTGCAGATTTTTACAGTACTCTACCAAAAACCTATGTCAAAGAACAATGAAAAGTTGTGCTTTAAAGGAATTTAAGAGACAAAATAGATGCAGCCAGTCTTATAAATTCAGTATTATTTCAACTCTTTCGTTACAAAAAATATCCAGTAAAATGCAGTACAGTATTTGTGTCTAAGAAACATTGGTCTTTTTGTTACTTATTTTTTTGTAGCTATAATTTTATCTCTATGATACCAACATTCAAACACAAATTATTTACATACACAAGCTGGTAAAGTTTGTTGGTGGGAGGTAAAGTTTTCTTCATAAAGGTAATTTTTCCACTTTATGTTCCAGACTTCTCAAGTGGGCCACATAAAGCTCCAAACTGCATTTTGCCTCTTCACAGTTTATGTGGAAACCAAGAGCGTGTGCCCCGTTAACACCTCTAATTCCTGCCAATGAGGGCACACAGCTCACACGAATCCTTGCACCACTGAATATTCATTTTGTCTTGATTTAGAAGGATGTTTAGAAGGATGTGTAATTAGATATGGCTTTCAGAATAAATCTATACAATTTTAAAGTGCTCTGTGATGCACATTTAAGATATCGGATAACCATGGAGAAAACAAAACAAAACAAGTTTACATAGTTCACACACACAAGATTATTAATCAGGTACATAAAAGCACCTTTTACATCTGTGGGTAAAGGTTGATATAATCTATAGGAGTAAAAAGTATTGGATGTTCTAAACTCGTTAAAATTATTGTGCTCTGTACAAGTTTTCACAAGTCTGCCAGTAATAACTTAGGCAGGGTAGCAAAATAATAATTATTATAATTACCACTCTATCTCACCTTCAAAGCCCACTCTCTCCAACAGGTTCAAGGGATACCACATTAGCGGTTTGTTGCCCACAGGCAGCAAACATTTAGGGGTGTTGTAAGTTAGATCAGTCATACGAGAACCACCTCCAGCTGCCATTAATACTGCCTGGAGCTCCATGATCTCTGCAGGAAAAGACTAAAAGAGAAAAGCAGAGAAATTAAAGAAAAAAAGATCGACATCCATCCAACCATTTTTTTTTACACACTTTTCTGTGTGGAGTCATGGGAGAGCTGGTATCAATCTCCAGTGATCATTGAGAAAGAGATGGACCCTGGACAGGTCACCAATCGGTCACAAGGCCACATATGAGACGTTACATACACAGCTCAGATTTAATTTAATCTGTATATTTTTGTTTGTTTGTTTTGGGACTGTGGTGCAGTGTTTCTCTCAACCTAAACCAGTTCTTCACATGTTTAACAAAGAGATGCAAAAAAGGAGGATTCTGGAGTGCATGTCCATGCCCCAACATCATGCAAGGAAAACATGCAGTATGGAGCAAAAGTTAAACAAGTATAGGGGAGAAATGCTGTCAAAACACATTCTATTTTGCTTTCCTTTTTTACATAAAATGTAAAAACAATCAAAAGCATAAAAATCTGGTTGTCTTATAAACTGAATCAATTCTTCAAGGTTACATTTGAGACTGTTTTGGAAAAACCACACAGACTTGTTTCGAACACCACTGAGAGCTACGATCTTCTGTGGATCTTTCTAAATATATGTCCAAATCCTTCTGTCTCTTCATGTAACTCCAGACTCATGTAATGATGTTGAGATCAGTGCAGGTCATACCATCACTTCCAGCCAAGACTCCTTGTTTTTTATGTCATAGAAACAGTACTTAAAAATACTGCCAGTATGTTTGGAAGCACTGTCCTGCTACAAAATATATTTAGGGACAACTATATGCGTTACTGATGATTTTGCATTATTGATAGGTATCTGCTTGTATTTCTCAGCACTGAGGACATCATTATACCATTATTCATCATCATCAATAGTGAGTAAGTTTCTTTAGGCTTCTCCCTTTCTCAGAGGTTGCCAGTGCCACAAGGAGTGAACTCGCATGAAAGATTTGGCAATTTGTTTTATGCCAGATGTCCATCCTGATGCAACCTGGGCTCGAACACGCAACTTCAGGATTACAAGACCACGACCTGACCATCGAGCTACCGCAGCCTCTGATCAAAACTCAAAACTCCATCTACAGAAATCCAACCTAAAGCGCCTCCAAAATGCTTCACTGCACCTTGGGCAGTACGACGGCTAAGTGGTTAGCACTGTTGCCTCACAGCAAGAAAGTCCTGGGTTCAATCTCCGGTTGGACCTGGGGTCTTTCTGTGTGGAGTTTGCATGTTCTTCTCGTACTTGCGTGGGTTTTCTCCGGGTACCCCGGTTTCCTCCCACAGACCAAACACATGCATGTTAGGCTGACTTCAGGCCCAGGCCTCCCTTGCAAAAGAGATCTGTGATATAAATGAGATTTGCCTGATTAAATAAAGGTTAATAAAATAATAATGCTCAATAATGCACTGCACTCCAGACCTTTGGTGAACAAACTTATCTGCTAGGGAAAAACATTTCAAATTTTCTCTTCAATGCAAAATGTAGTCAATTTGTAATAATTAATGCTGTTATTTTGTTTTTACAACAGCTTAAACCTTAAGGTTAAAAAAAAAAAAAAAAAAAGAGTAATTTTATTGAAAACATCTGCATTACATGATTAAAATTACGCTCATTTTGTCTATTTTTAAGCAACTAGTAAGTGACTATGGACTGATTATGAACATTTAAAAACGTTTTAGGTAACTTTATAAATTGTTACATTTTAACCATTTAATTTTTGACAGGCTAGATCCTGATGACCAATAGGTACAACTTGAAAAACGTACAAAGTTTATACGATTTTTTTGTGCAGAAAATCACAACATACGCTTCTGTCAGTCAGTGTTCAGACTATCATAACACACCTGACTTCACTAGGATGATGGGAAGAATAAGGTCTGTGTTTGCACATACACTTTCTGCAAGATGTAAAATTTAAGAGAGGCGAACAAACAACAAATCATGGATTAAGCTGTATCTACCACACTGTTAACCTCAACTCGCTGATTGAACAGGCATAATGGCTTACAAAAGTAGCTAGGAAGAGTAAAACGCCAGACATTTAAATAAGTCATTCTTTTGTTACCTGTCACAGTCTCCTTGATTCCAGCTGCCTGTAAATGACAGCGCTGGCCGTCGCATGCAAGTTAGTTGATGTCGCTGTAGTTAGCACTTGGCTAACTATTAGCACAAAGCCAAACGCGACGCTGCTGTTCCAGAAACAGCTCAAACCTAACCGAGTACTTTTTTGAAAGGTAAAAAGATAAGCTGCGAAGTGTTGGTTAAAAAAATTGTTAGCACCTAATTTATTTTACAAGAACGGCATAACAAGAAGCTAGCGGCTAGCATTAAAATGATGAGATCTGGGTGTGTTTGGTGAAAACGGTTCGTAAAGAAAACGAGCGACTGTGAAAAAGGTTCCGACCAAAAAAAAGATGCTAGATGTGAACTGCGCTATGCTGGAAACCTTACAGACACACGCTCAAACGAAAACTATAAACAAACAAAAATAAAATAAAATAAAATGGATTGAGAGACAGACTGTAATGTAGCACGATAACAGTTATCAATCCATTTTGACAATAACCAGAAAAGAAAAAAAAAAAAAAAGAAAAGGAATAGTACAAATATAAATGAAACAATCTTAAAATAAATAAATAAATAAAATAATAATACATTTAAAAAAAGCCAACATTTAAACATATATATATTTATAACAAAAATACAAAAACAAAAAGCAACACTTTTTGCCCTGTTTTTCATGAGCTGAACTTAAAGATCTAAGACCTTTTTATGTACACAATAGACCTTTTTATCTCAAACAATGTTCACAAATTTATGAAAATATGTTAGTGACCACTTCTCCTTTGTCGATATAATCCATCCACCTTGCAGGTGTGGCAAATCAAGATGCTGATTAGACAGCATTTATCTGCAGATATGCACATTTTTTTGTTCAGGATGTGTGTACAGTACAGTATTTACATTTTTGTTTGACAGTATTTAAATAAGTTTACTCAAACCTCTATAGTAGTGTGAGCATATTAGGAGCCAGCCTTGAGACTTCAAGATTGAAACCCCACAATCCACAGAGCTGAGACGCAACAGCAAATTGAGCTTGGGGAATGTGGCTTTGGTTTTGTTTGCTCTGGCCAGGAGATGAGCTTGACTGCTCATTACTGCTTGCTTAAAACCAGGCAAAGCAACAAGAGAGGGAATGTGAAGGAAAAAATACAAAGTACCATGACTGTCTGTTGCTGCTTGAAAGCAAAAGTATCGACACCAGTAAAAACACGTGAATGGGAAGCAGTTCTTGGCAGGTACCTTCTAGTAAAAGTTTTTTTTCTAGTGGTAGCTTACATATTTTTATTACTCTGAATTTCCTAAAGTCAAAATATTTGGTTAAGGCAAGTTCTTTTTCTTCTTTTTTTTTAACACTAAATGAGTTTAAATATATCGCTGACACGACTGTAAGAGCTGCATTTTTCCTTCAGTTAAAATTTCATCTTTCATCATTTTTATGGCTCGTTATGAAAAGTGAATTAAGGAATTGCAATATCATCTTTGTATGAACTGCAATTTTAAAACTTTGTTATATTTTGCTGTCATCATCTTAGTAATTTAAGAGCTGATTAGCTGGCTGGATAAAATCCTTCCCTCTTTGGTGATTCAAATTTAATAAATGGCAAAGTTACTTTTAAAGAAACCTTGGGTAAAATGATTAAAATTCAATCAAGTTGATGACATTTGATGACAAACATGTCAATCTTTATATTAAAACGTAACAGAGAGTCTGACAAAATATATATTTGGAGGGAACATGAAAGATGAAAACAAGTCAAGTTTTCTTAATGTTTTAGAAAAGTGAAGTAGCAATAAAAATGTATAAGATTAGCAAGTTTCGCATAAAATACACTGATCCTATAAATCTTTCATCAAATAAAATTTATAATATTGCTCTTCAGATACAGACATCCATCTGGCACAGACGGAAAGAAATGCAAACACTAAAACTTTTCAACAGCACCAGAGGAAGTAAGCATGCAAAAAGACATGCACTTGTACAACTCTAATCACACTGTGACTTGAAATGGAGCCCTGAGATCTCCTCTGATTTCCTTTCCCTCCTTGGCCCTGTTGCTGCATCTTGTAAATCATTCTCGGTTCACTGAAACAAGCCAGTTGGATTAACTTGGTTTAGATCATAAACATTTGCAGCACAGACCACCCAGGGAGCGTGCCGAGCCAAGGTTTGAGTGTGCACGCGTGAGTGTTTGTGTGTGAAGTCTTGCTTTTTAGTTTAGAGGTGAGCATTACAAAACAGACTCAGATTTGGTCTACCACACGTGCAGGCAGGCTCACACACATTAGAACATACTGTGGTTTGTGTTGAGGCCTCTGGGTGCATTGCACTGTGAGATCCTGACCTTTGTCATGGAAACCCAAAAGACACATTTTTTAAATGAAGACACTGCTGCAGAAGTCCATATAATGTTATGCAATGAAGCTTTAGTTTTTTAGACATTGTATTAGTTGGTTCAATTTCACTATTAATAACTGGCGACTTTGTGACTGAGTACTGGTACATTAGGGTATAACCCCCTTCCTCCATATTTGTTTCTTGTTTCTTAAAATGACAAGTGCAATATGATACGTTTTCTCATGATTTTCACAAATGTCTTTACTTCTTGCAAAAGTGTATTACTTTGTCTGGACATACATGAAGGATCTTGGAGCCAAAGTGGTGTCAGAACTAGAAAATATCTGGGTTGGGTTCTAACAGCTACAGTTGGAAAAGCTGGGCAACTCCCTGCTGCAGACCACTGGCCCTTTTTTCTGCAAGCTGCTTTTCTGCTTGAATGAGGGTCAAACTCCATTAACGTTTTCTCCATCTAATAGGCATTTCTAGGCATTTATTGCTATCAAAGGACTGTTTATTGTCTCTAACAATATATTTACATTTTCTATTTGAGTTTGATTCGAAGGGCGAGTTTTACAAACATTCAAAGGCATCACATTAAAAGGAGAGATCTACATTTTGCAAACACAGACTTTGCTTTCAATGAATCTATAAAGTCTAGTGAAAAGGATATGCAATAAAAAAGGTGACTGATTGTGCTTCAGAGGAACAGCAAATTTTCTCATGGAGAAAGAGCACAAGAACAAATACAATTGGGAAAAAAAATCAGGTTTGAATGGAAAAGGCAGGAGAGAGCTTGACCACATTGTTTCAACACCAGCTAGCCGTCTGTGCGTCCTTTCTTGGCCACATTCTGTTTGACAGGCTGTCTGGGAGGTCCCTGAACCACAAAAAGCAAACATGCACAGACAGACTCACAACTTCACTTGCGCACACTTCACTATTCATAAGTGTATTGCATTCACGTGTATTGTAGGCTCTTATTTTTGTAAAGATCACTTGAAATGACAGTATACAATGTATGTGTGTGGCATTCAGTGCCCCTCTGAACTTTCAACATTTAAAAACAGAACAAAGTTATAAAGAAAAGTCTTTCGCATACATGAAGCAGTGGGTGTACTGCCAAATATACCATCATTAGTACCCGTAATATAAATGATTGGAAATGGAACAAACTAAGAAAAACACTCATTTTTATTGGGCATAAATTTAAGTTTCACACAAAATTCTCACACGTTGAAAAAACAAAGACGAAAGACCAAACATGCAAAATCTTAACTTTTAATTAAACTTTATGCAGAACAATTGAGCAATTTCAGACATTTTAATGCATAAACTTGTTGCTTTTTATCACTTACAGATGAAAAATAATGTCATGTTTGATCTCTATCTGTTGCCTCACAAGTGTAATGTTTTTCCTTCACTTTTGACTCAAGCATTGCACACAGACACACACCTGAACTCACACACAAAATCATCTTTTCAACTAAACTAAATGTTTATAGCATTCCAGACCTTTTGTGTGTGAGACTGTTTGTGTGGTCCTGTCTGCACTAGCACCAGGTTTGAGGTTAAGGTGTTTGCTTGCTGCTGTGTGAGCACATCAGTACGTGTGTGTCTTACAGGGTGTGTGTGGGTAAGAAAAAAAAATCATCCTTGTTTGCCTCTAGAGCATCTGTGGAAAGAAAAGCAAGACAAAGAAAACAAAGCGGCAAAGAAAATTTACTTTATTTAGAAATGCAATAAACGCATCAGATTTAGCATTTTACTGACTGACTGAATCAAAACACTAAGAAGATTCTTCATAAAATAAACTGAACTGATCCTGTGAGAAAATTGACTAATATGCAGAGCCAGGCTTTGTGATGTGTTTGCACATTAAATCCTGGAGCTACAAAAGGGATGACAGTCATAAATCCATACGGAGCCATTCATATAGTTTAGGAGTGGTTCAAGACAAAATATTTAATGAGCTATATGACAAAATGTGTCTACTATAACATTCTGTTAAGTTTATTCTTCGTCTCTAGTCTCAACGTCAACACTCAACGTCTCATCACAAAAATCCCCAAAAAGAAGCCGTCCAGATGATCTGACTGAACATTGTTGGATTTTATACCTGGATTATTGAGCATGGACTTTGGTGTTTTGAACCAGTTTGACATGACTGTTGACGAGGGAGAAGGCAGGCACCGGAGGTGAGGGCGTGCTCCAGAGGCCATCTTAGCAGCAATACAACTGTTCATGTTTTTTTCCACTTTGGAGTAGGCTGTTGGGAGAGAATCAGTTTTGTTTGGTGTTTCCTCAGACTGACGAAGCCTTCTGGGGGGGAAGGTGAAACGTCTCAGCATAAAAAAAGAAACCGTCCAGCTGACCTGACTGAACATTGTTGGATTTTATACTTGGATTATTGAGAAGGACTTTTGGTGTCTTATTCAATCCGTTTTGTAGTATGTGTCCAAACTAGCTGTCCTTTGACAGACATATTAGTTAAAATAATCTGAATATGAAAACAAAATATTTCATATAATTTACAAAAATCATGAGTTTTAGATATTGCATTCATGGAAAGTCTGTTTCATACCTACAGATTGTCAGTAGGAAAAACAAACAAAACTGTAAAATTCTTATAGTTAATATAAAAATGACCTATCTAAACTTTTTTATAGTTTTTTTTTTTTAATTGATTGTAAGGCTAAGGATTTTTATATAGCCACGAATGTCAATAAAAATCTAAAACGCTTATCATTTTTTTCCCTCTTCATAAAGGAAGAGAATAATAATAACAATCACTTTAATGCATCTGAAAAACTGGGACCCCAGTGTACTTTTGAGTAGACTGTCACAATTTTTATTTATTGTTAAACTTTTCAGTATTTAAAAAAATATCCAACATTGTGATTTTTGTTTTATTTTTATTATTAGTATTATTTTTTATTCTTTAACCATTATTGCCTA